ATTTTTCTCTCGCATTTATTTCTTTAGGGGGAATAGGGGATACATGGAATTAAAAATCTCTTGTATTAAAAATCTCTTGTAATTTTATATCTTGGCCGTGTCCAAGTAAAATTTGGTGCCTTGTGCACAGGTATTTAATTCTAACGAAAAAATTTAGTTTCGTTTAGGATAACGCACTGTCATCCGCGATTTGGCTCTTATTGCCTGTCTTATATATGTTAAATTTATAAAAACTTAATATATGGTGGTCAACAATTAATAGAACAAATAGAAGAATATTCAAGGAAAGAAAATTATGCTAGACTCAGACAACCGATGCTAAAAAGAAGTATCCTATCAGAGTCACGGCAACGAGTTAAATGGATAAGTAGAAAAACAGGGACCAACAAAAAAGATTCAAAATATTTGAGACTGAATATGAGATTATTACAAATAGCATAACAATAGATTTAGAGTTAGGTAAATACAGGAGAGAAGGAAAGGGAGAGGACAGTGTCTTAATTAAAAAAATATGTGATAAATATCATCTAAACGATAAGACTGAAATAGTATATACGGATGGTTCCAAAAAAAAGGAAGGCGTTTCCACAGGTGCAGGCATAGTTATAGAAAACCGAGTAATAGGATATAATATAAGTTTACCAAAAGAATGTTCAACATTTACAGCGGAAGCGTTTGCGATTAAAGCGGTAGAATTAATTTATAGAGAAAAAGAGAACCACTGCGACAACATAATTATTTTGTCGGATTCTAAATCAGTATTACAAGCATTAAAGAATAACCAGATAAATGTATACCATAACAGGTACATTATAGAAACGAAAAAAATAATACATAAACTAAAAAGAGAATTGGATAAAAACGTAATACTGGTTTGGATCCCGGCACATGTAGGAATTAAGGGCAATGAAATTGCGGATGGATTAGCAAAAGATGCAACCAAAGAAGCAGAGGATAATAACATAGAAGTCCCACTAGGGGATTATCGGAAAGAATTTAAAAAGGAAACATGGCAGATGACACAAGATAGCATTTTAAGAGACGCCCAATATAAAGGAAAATATTATTTTGAAAATTTTTATAAGAGAAAAAAGAAAAAACCATGGTTTTATAAGATAAACAAGGAAAGATACTACGTGACACTCATTAATAGATTAAGAGCCAACCACTATAACGTAGGAGAGTCACTCGCTAGGAAGGGGATCATAGATAGCGCTAGGTGCAAATGCGGTAACGAGAACGAAAGCATTGAACATGTAATATGGCGATGCAGTAGATACGACGAGGCAAGAGTTAGGTTAGATCAAAATCTAAGAAAAAAAGGCATCACGGAAGAAATAGATATTAAGAACATTCTGAAGAATAAAAACTGGAAGGCTTTCGATTGTATATACAAATACATCAAGAACATTGGCAAAATAATCTGATCACAGTGAAGATAATAAATGGAAAAGGGACCCTGTGCCAATAGCCAAGATAGGATAGGCTGAAGGCACTAAGTTCTCCAACCGGGGAACGTCACAACAAAAGAAAAAAAAAAAAACATGTATGTAGGTTACATTCCTTACAATGTCATGTTACATATTAGTTGTAATTATATAAATCTTATATAAATGCTTATGTATGAGTATGCATATATTTTTAATATATAGCGGTGTCTGTGCTATATCTTCAAAAAGCAAATATTGCTAAAAGAATTTATGCCACATGTAAACATATTAAAATGAACAATGATGGTTACAAGAAAGAAGGAATTACGTGCCCTTCGATGCAAGTCCAGAGCATTTTACTGAAGGAATTTTACAACGAGTGTGGAATTTCACCGTTGTGCATAGATTACATTGAGGCGCATGGTACAGCTACGAAAGCTGGTGATCCGGTAGAAATAAATGCATAGATTACATTGAGGCGCATGGTACAGCTACGAAAGCTGGTGATCCGGTAGAAATAAATGCTATTAATAATATTTTGTGTAAAAACAGAACGACTCCGTTAATGATCGGTTCGGTTAAATCCAATCTTGGTCACGTTGAACCAGCGAGCGCTTTTGCACAGATTGCGAAGGTAAGATAAATAGATAATTGTTATGTATTCATTATAATATGTTCATGATAAAAAAAATAATATACTGTAAATTTCGCGTGCATAACAAATGATTTTTATTACTCATATATAGTGAAAAATATTTCCCACTGATTTCTGTATTACAAGCAAGCATGGCAATTTTGAAGTGTTCATTATTATAAAATAACTGATTTATAAAAGCACAAAATAAATTTTACCTATTTTTATATTTTTATCATTTAAATTAATTTTTGAGTAAATTGAAAAAATTACAATTATATCTGCGATTATATACGCATAATAATTATAATAAAATAAAATATGAAAATAACATTACACGATTTTATTCGGATAACTTTATAATACGTAAAAATATATTGTGACATAATTAATTTTATTGATTTTTAAGGCAATAATAGCATTCGAAAGTGGACTTGTTCCACCAAATATTAATTTTACATCGCCACGAGACGATATAGATGCCTTTGTAAATGGAAGCATTAGTGTGGTTACAAAAAACCTGCCACTTAAAAATGGTTACATAGCCATTAATTCTTTTGGTCTCGGGGGATCAAATGCTCATACGTTACTAAAATGGAATACCAAACAGAAAATTAATAATGGAACAGCGACTGATAATATTTATCAAAACTTGTGACAGTGTCCGGACGCACTCAACAATCAGTTAATTCGTTTTTAAACGATGTCAGTAAAATTTAAAGAGCAATATTATAATCAGTAATTAAAAAAATACATTGTTACACAAATTTTAAGAAAATTTTGTTTTGTAGATCGCTAATCATTCCACAGACGCAGAATACATTCGTTTAATACACGATATCTATTCCGACAATATAGAGGGTCATCCATGGAGAGGATATATTATATTAAATACTTTGCAACAAAATTCAGTAAGGGAAATTCAAAATAATCAGAATATTAAACGACCTGTTTGGTTCGTTTTCTCCGCCATAGACACACAATGGCTAATAATTGGTATTTATATTCAATATTTTGTTTCATGTATGATATAGCACATTTAAAAAATAATTAAGATTTTAATTATTATTTTTAATAATAATTTAAATATTAATTCATTATTTTTAATATTAATTATCTATATTTTTCAGGTCACAGTTTATTAAAGTTTGACGCCTTTGCGAATGCTGTAAAAATGTGTGACGCTATTTTAAAATCATATGATATAAATATCATGAAAATTTTAACAAAACAAAACGGCTGTGAAAGTGCATTACATGCATTTGTTGGCATAGTCGCTATTCAGGTAAAATATCGTATATTATACAATATTAAAAATATATTTATTATATTTAAAATTATATAATGTCGTAAAGATATTTACAAATATATTTATAGTTAATAAATATTATAAATATGAATAGCGTTTTTAAATATAGTATAGTATAAGAAAATTATCTCTTATAGATTGGCTTAGTAGATCTCCTAACAACCTTAGAAATTACTGCTGATTATATGATTAGTCATTTCGGTGGTGAACTTGGTTGTGCGTATGCGGATAAATGTTTAACTATTGAACAAACTATTCTATCGGCATATTTTATTGGTTTAGCTTGCACCGAAGGAAATATAATTCATAGTTCTACAGCAATTGTGAATCTTGATTACGAATGCTTCAAAAATATATGCCCTGCGGATATTGAAATAGTATGCTACAATAGTCAAAACAGCAACATTATAAGCGGGCCTGCAAAATCCATAAAAAAATTTGTGGAAATATTAAAAGTATTATTTCATCATTTTTAAATTTACTTTTCGGTCTTTGATCTTTGACTTGCCTATTTTTGCTTTAAATATATTTAACTATTAGCTTTAACTATGCTATTTGTTTGTATTAATTAACTGTGTTTTATTAGATTAATAACATTAACGTGAAAGAAATCTCCTGCAATGTACCATATCACAGTCATTATCTCGCATCCGTGGAAACTCAGATTTTGAGTAACTTGAACCAAGTAATAGCGCAGCCGAAAAAACGAAGTTCAAGATGGATCAGTACTTCCGTACCTTGCATCGAGTGGTCCAATGAAGCATCGAAATTATCTTCAGCATTATATCACACGCATAGTATATTAATAATCGTCCTCTTTGAACAAGCTACGAATTTAATTCCAAATAACGCTGTGACTATCGAAATTACACCGGACGGCGTTCTGCAGAAAATCTTAAAAGAATCTTTACATCCAAATGTGACAAACATTGTATTAACATGCCAGAAATAAATACTGCATCTTGTATAATTATTAAGCTTTATTCTTTTATTTTTCTTTATTTAATTGAATAGATATTAACATCCAATGTAGCATACAGAATAAATTAACAACCAAAGAAATAAATCTTATTTAAATATCAATCAACTGGATTTTGTACTACTATTGTAGGGCACAAATATTAGACAGACAGTTAACAAACTTGTGACGAGACGAAAGAGATTCATTATTATTGGTCGAAAATATTGACTGACGCGACCTTACGTATTGACGAGATTTCCGAAACGAAAGCTAGGGCAGTCCGCTGTGAGTCGCAGAACGAAACAGATCGAAGAGAATAAATACGAGTTATAAAGAAAGTGAAGAGACAGAGTTCGTATGAGACAGAAAGAGACAGAGTGTGTGTTAGAGAGACAGAACAGACAGAGACAGAATTTACGCGTTCGGAGTTTCTATTCTATAAGAGACAATTATCGTGATTATCGAATATTAATGACAGAAGCGATGGGGTTCGCTTTACATGTATTTAAGCATTGATTAAATTATTAATATCACACAACAAGAGATACTTATATTTTGAACATCTTCCTATTTTATCCTCTTAATAACAAATTAAAAAAATAGTATCTCACACTATTAATATGAATTCTTTATCTGGTGCCACCATAATTTACATATTTATGTATATTATACTTCCTCGTCCTCGTCCGCGGCCACGTCCGCGACCACGTCCGCGACCAGCTCGCGACCATCGAGCGGGTCTTTGTTTTACTGTAAAACAAAAATGAAATTTAAATATAAAAACATATATTTACATTTGTTATTTTTAATTTCTTAAATAAAGAAATAATTCTAGTTTTTATTTTTTACTTACGTCTCATGTTATCATCTTCTTCATTTTCAACCACCATTGCAGGCGATGGTGGTTGCGATGGTTGAGCTCCGGTTTTGCAAACTTTTGGAATACGAGCAGGAGCAGTTGCGTTTACACTTGTCGAAGCACGAGCAGGAGCAGTTGCGTTTGCACGAGCTTCAGCAAGAGCTCCGGTTGAAGCTGGATTCGTAGCTGCAGCAAGAGCCTGATTTGCTGCAGCTAACTGTTTCTTGACTTCTTCTAATTCAATTCTCGTGATCTCTAAATCCAGCGCCGTACTAAACTCGTCACTCGATCCCGGGGCGCCCTAAAAAACCAAGATTAAAAATAAAATTGTAATCTCTCTTTCTCTCTCTCTCTCTCTCTCTCTCTCTCTTCTCTCTCTCTTTCGCTCTCTCTCTCTCTCTCTCTCTCTCTCTCTCTTTCCCTCTCTCTCTCTCGCTCTCTCTCTCTTTCTCTTTCTCTCTCTCTCGCTCTCTCTTTTTCTCTCGCTCTCGCTCTCTCTCTCTCTCTCTATCTTTCTCTCTCTCGCTCGTGTGTGTGTTAAATATAAAATTACTTACCTCTTGTGTCTTCTCTTGTGTCTTCATTTTATCTTTCATTATTTTTTTTCTTATGGACTCTTGTGTATTTCGTGACGTCCGAGATCGCAGCGTCAACTCGATAACATAAGAATGTTGATTGCAATGTATAGTTACATAGGTAACGATAACTGATCACACATTGTGCCGCATGCTTCGAAGTGTTCGGTTGTCAAAATAATTTTGACAGTTTTAAGTCAAAATTGGTTAAGGTGTTGAAAGAGTGTAAATTTTGCAGAAATTTTATAAAGAATAAGGTAAATAATAATATTATATATATATATAATATATATATATATATATATATATATATAAATATATTTATGTGTGTGTGTATATGATTATATATATGTAAATATATATATATATATATATACATATATATATATATACATATATATATATGATTATATAATTTTTTGTTGTATATAAATATCACCTTTAAAAAAAGGTAAAAAAAGGCGACCAGTTAAGGGCACGCCATTAACAAAAATTATTTATTGCAAACCCATGTAGAATCCTATCCTATTTCAAACACATGTAGAATCCTATGAAAAATTAATCATTGCAAACTCATGTAGAATCCTAGGCAAAATTAATTATTGCAAACCCATGTAGAATCGTACCCATTGCAAACCTATGTAGAATCCTATGAAAAATTAACCATTGCAAACCCATGTAGAATCCTATGAAAAATTAACCATTACAAACCCATGTAGAATTGTATTAAAAATTATCTATTGCAAACTTATGTAGAATCCTACATTGCAAACCCATGTACAATAGAATTGTATGAAAAATTATTGATTATAAACCCATGTACAATCGTAACAAAAGTAATAAAATAAAAAAAAATTGCGACAAGTGAAAGTAGAAACTTATACCAGTGGAAAATTAAAGTTGCAGACATAATATAGTCGTATAATGAATCAGTAAAAATTTAAATTTGCAAATGTAGAATCGTACCATAAAAAAACTTATCTTTAAAAAAAAAAAAGATAAACAAGATGCCAAGTCCATTAATATAAAATAAAAAGAAATAAAAAAATTGTAGTTAAAAAAACTGGGCGCGCTGCTAAGTTTCAAAATTACAATGCACCTTAAAGTAACATTAATTAATTTAAACACAAAACATATTTTAACTGCAATGAGTTTAAAAATAACAATTTAATTTAATATCATTAGAATATTATTTAGCAGCGCGCCCAGTTTCTTTAACTACAATTTTTTTATTTCTTTTTATTTTATATTAATGGATTTGGCATCTTGTTTATCTTTTTTTTTAAAAGATAAGTTTTTTTATGGTACGATTCTACATTTGCAAATTTAAATTTTTACTGATTCATTATACGACTCTATATATGTCTGCAACTTTAATTTTCCACTGGTACAAGTTTCTACTTTCACTTGGCGCAGTTTTTTTTTATTTTATTACTTTTGTTACGATTGTACATGGGTTTATAATCGATAATTTTTCATACAATTCTATTGTACATGGGTTTGCAATGTAGGATTCTACATAAGTTTGCAATGGATAATTTTTAATACAATTCTACATGGGTTTGCAATGGTTAATTTTTCATAGGATTCTACATGGGTTTGCAATGGTTAATTTTTCATAGGATTCCACATAGGTTTGCAATGGGTACGATTCTACTGGGTTTGCAATGGTTAATTTTGCCTAGGATTCTACATGGGTTTGCAATGATTAATTTTTCATAGGATTCTACATGGGTTTGCAATAGGATAGGATTCTACATGGGTTTGCAATGGATAATTTTTGTTAATGGCGTGCCCTTAACTGGTCGCCTTTTTTTACCTTTTTTTAAAGGTGAGTTTTTAGAGATTATATCATTCATTTTTATATATGATAAGCATCTTTAAATAAATAAGCAAAGAACCCGCCACCACCCCCGTCATATTTCAAAATACGACGGTCCTCTTTGCTTATTATAGATAAAAATAACTATCTTGTATTTTAAGTAAAAAATATTTTTTTGCACTTCACGAATAATGCAGAATGTAAAGCGTTGTCATGAAATTGCTAATATATTACGAAATCTTTTTTTATATAGGACTGATCGAAATACACTGTTAAATGATGAAATAGTAATAGTCATAAACTTGATATTATAAAAATCTATTTAGGAAGAATTTTATAACTACTTTATTTTATATCGAATTAGTATTATTTATTACCTATTTTTTGTAAAAATATTATATAAACATCTTTAGCACCTCTAGACCACTGCCTCTTTTTTACTTCTGCATCATCTATTTCGATCCAAATATTAGATAGTCCTTCTCTACATATGCTTACATAATGACCTTCATCGGTGCACGAACCATCATAAAGTATAGCACTCATCGTCTTGTACAATTGTCCCGCTATTAATACTTTAGTTGTTGGAACAGCACATAAATTAAATTTGTTTTCTGCTTTTATTAATTTACCATCTTGTGCTAAAAATAGTATTAAACGAATAACAATTATTTCTCTTGTTAATGTTACTTCATTTTTAAAATATTATCCTCGAAAAATATTCTCCTAAACATTGCCGTATTGCATATGTATTTAGATTTTGCATTCCATTTTCATATCGATGCATTAATATACGTAAAACGTCTGTTTTATCGCAATTAATCAACTGCTGCTTAATAATATTTAAATGTAATAAACATTGCAATACTGTATTTGCATAACATGAAATCTTGTCTGTATTCTGAAAACCACGTATGATCCAAGCAGTGCTTTGAATTCTTTTCTTTGAAACCGTATGTTGAATTTTTCGATCTGAATTTGATTTTTGAACAGAAGTAACTATTTTTGGTAACGCCCATGGAACATCTTTTACTTTACGACAACGTTCTTTTGACACAGCAATCATTTCTGCTTTCGGATTGTATATCTGTTTTAAACGATTATATTCAATAATAACTTTTTCGTTAGCTATTACTGCTGAAGGATCAAAGTTTATTAAATGCACTCCTTCTAGAGATGTTACTCGCGACAAGGCAACATAAATTTGACCACAACTAAATACAGAGTTGCCAATATCCATAACAACACTTTGCAAACTTAATCCTTGGCTTTTATGAATAGTGATGCCATAACTTAAAGATAATGGAAATTGTTTTCGAATCACATACGCTCTATCCAATACCTGAAATTTAGCCGTTACTCTTTCAATTTCATATTCTAAACCTGATGGTAAAAGAAGTTTAATCTTTTCTACGTCATCAGTAGATGTTTCTCGTACAATTGAAATTACTTTAGCAATTGTACCGTTTACAAGACCCAAACTGGCATCGATGTTACGCCGAATCATAACTTTTGCTCCAATTTTAATTGTAATTTGTTTTGAAAGTCCAGCTGTTCGAGAACTATCATCATCGTTATTTGACAATACTTTTAATACTTTCTTTTTTACATATGATGTACAATCAATCGTATCTTCAGCAATTAATAATATTTCTTTGGAAGTAATGCGACTTAACATTGCATTATTAAGGACATCACACATATTACAAGTAGGAAATAAACAAACAGTGTCCGATGATAAACTGTTAATAAAATCACATAATTCATTTAATCTAGATTCGAAAGAATCAGCTTTGAAAGATATTTTTCTACTCTCTAGAATTTTACAATCAGATTTTGTCACTAAACCAATACGAATTCGCGACAATAATTCACGGTATGAATTATCTCCTTGCTGACGCATATTGATTATCAATTCATCATATTCAAATAATGTAATCCATAAATTAACAGCATTTAAAGAACCAAGATAATTAGCAATTTTTTGATCGGATAAATGTGTAAAGATAAGATCTTCGCGTACAGGAGGCAATTGAAGCAAGTCTCCGAATAAAAGAATATGCTTTCGACCAAACCAACCATCATCGCAATCACTAGTATCAAATATCTCAGACAATCGAAGATGAATATATATTAAAGTCAAATTAGATATCATTGACACTTCATCAATTACGAAAAGAATAACATCTTTAAGATCTGTTCGTAAAACTTTTAATACACAATCAGATAATTGTTTATACTTATGAGTTTGACCATGTTCAACGGGTAATTGAAGCAATCTATGAACTGTCAAACCATCTATATTAAATGCTGCTATACCAGTAGGTGCTGTTACAGCAGTATCTTTGTTGAGATTTTGTTTTATCCAGCATTTAATAGTCTTGATTAAGAAACTTTTTCCAGTACCACCTTCTCCGCTAACATATAATCGTAATATTGATTTATCGGACTCTACAGCATTGGTAACTTTATCAAATACTCGTTTTTGATCCGTATTTAATTTTACTATCATGTCAGATACATCAATTTCTTGAATTGCTCTATCACCAAGATCTTTAAAATCTTGCATTGCTTCACCAGCCTCTATATTTTGAATACCTATTGCATTTTCAGGATCATCCTGAGACTGCTCTTTTTGCAAATCGTCATCTAAGCATTGCTGAACTAACTGTTTTGCAGTTTCAAATGCTTTTTGCAATTCTTCTAATCTTTCATGATATTGCAATGCTTCTTTAAGATGCAGTTTACTTTGTGAAACGATTCGGTATAAGTATCGTATTTATTTTTAAGATCCTCTAATTTTCGCCATGGTTTAAACATAAGCAATAACGCAAAGAAATAATTTTCCGGCTGTGTATTAACATTATATCTAAAATGATTAATAAGATATCCGCGCTGTCGCCGTTTAAGATAACAACCATTACCTATTTTATAATATTCAATAAACTTATTTTTCGGTTTGATCTTTGAGATATCGTGCCACTGTGCAAATTCATAAAGAGACGTATTTTCTAATTCGTTTGGTCTATGTGGATAATGATCATCTGTCAAAGATTGATAAAATATATCTGTAGATTCAGGATCAAGAGCTTCAATTTCTTTACGACTTTTTAATTTTCTATATCGTATTTGATTAACATCTAACCATCTGATGGTTGTATTTCGATCAGTTCCATACAAAGGAATACCTAACAATGTATCAGCAGCTTCGAGAGCTCCACATTCTCTATTATTCGTAAATCGCAAAGCAATATTCCAAAGATGACTCGCTAATGATTTGTTTTTGTTATCCTTACTATCAAGAATATTCTCAGATAATTCACTTTTTCCCGCTTTATTCATATATTTAGTAACATACCAGGTTAGCAGCGATGATTTTTCACCAATAAATTGTATATCCATATTACCTTCCCATGCAGTAAGAAGAACAGGATTATAGTCATTTATATTACCTTCATTATCCGTTCGAGGAAGATCGTAAAGTCTACTTTTATGTTTCAATTGTTTTCTACCGGCTATCGAAGTTGCCACATCCCTGATATTCAAAGTTTCAGTAACGGGACGAGGAAATCCAAAACGACATCGACGAATAACTTTACGTCCTACTTTTTTAGAACGAAGACAATAATCATTATGTATATGTCGCTGATGCGTATCAACACGTCTGTACAACAATGGCGAAATATTTTGATCCGGTATTGTGCAGCTTATATGTTGTGAAATAAATTTTGAAACTTCCTCAATAGTAGATTCACCGAAAATTGGTGCATTTTTAATCCAAATTAATAAGTGAAAATGTTGTATACCTCTACCTTGATATTCTCGTCGCCAGAAATAGTGCGTTACTTCTCCAATTGGATGATCTTTAGACCTAATAAAGTCAAGCATTGCCCGAAACTTATTATCGAGAAACCTGGATGTTGATACTGGATCTCTAACAACGAGTGCGCTAACGCTTAAGGAAGCGTCATGCCATTCATTTACTTCACGAATATATTCACCTAAATCTTCCCACAACCACTCACTTGGACTGAGTGTTAAAAACCATGTCGCAGGTCCATAATGCTGCGTCATACAATTTAAATCGTTTCTCGGTTTACACCAATATTGCTCCGTATTTCGAAGTGTGGCAAATATTGTACTCAAATTAGATTCCAACAATTCTTTCGACATTGCGTCTAGGTATTCTGCGGCTGTATAACGAAGTCGCGGATTAGTTACATTCATTTTATGAAAAATTCCACGACTTAATTGACGCATATTTGCATCGTTCAATAAATAAAATACATATTGTAGATTTAATCTATACTGTGGATGTTTAGATGTCAAACGACATTTAATAAATTCATGATCATGAAGTTTAACTTGTCTAATCTCACGTTGTCCATTAATACCAGAAGAATATAAATCTGGAAAACACATTAAATCTAAATGTTGCTCACGATTGTTCAGAGGCAATCCTGAATTTTTAACATTTGATATAAAGCTGTCGCAGTTTTATTTGCTTTCTTTTCATATAAGGGATAGATGGTATATTGTTCGTAATAGCCATCGTTTTCAGCATTAGTCACTTGAGTCAACATTGCTTTCCGTTGACCTTCTAACATATCATTTTTTATCTCTTCTATCGGATCATTTAATAATTCAGTCTCATCATTAGCTACTTCTACATTATCTTCTGTCTCATTTAATAATTCAGTCTCATCATCAGCTATTTCTGCATTATCTTCTGTCTCATCTATTTGAAATTCTGAATTTTTTAATTTTGGTAAACGTAAATCATTGTAATCATTTGGCAATATAATATGAGAATATAAAGTATTGTTGCGCTTTAACCACGTTAAAGCGTCAAATACTTTTTTAACATCAACTACCTCTTCCCAAATAATCTTTGATTTTGTCGGGATATCTCTAACTAATATATATAACTCATGATTAATATTTATTGGATCAGTATTAGAACATAATTTATTCAATGTCTCCTGTAACGGAAGTGGTAAATGAAATGTTCTACCTTTAACTTTTGATACCATTTGTCTTTGAGGCAACTTTTTATTAATAACAGTTCCCATTTTAAGGACAGTTTGAAACGCTTTAGCTCTCTGTATAAGAATTTTTTCGAATGTATTAAGAGATGATATTACTTCAGGCACCTGATTTGTAAATAGATTATTTAAGACGCAGTATGCAGGCATTAAACCTTTACGAAATTTGTCTGCACAATAATTACATATATATTGCGCATCAACTTTTTGTTGTTGTACATACGTCATTAAATCCTTCAAAATTTTAACATGTACTTGTGTCTGAAGACTATTGACTTTAGAAACACTTTTTTTATAACACAATCTCTCGCATGATACGCAAACATGTCGTGGTGTGTCCACAGAGCGTTCAGTCAATGCTTTAAATGCTAAACGATATTTAAACATAATATCATCATCACTCAAAATTGTATCAATCCGTTGATGTCTGTACATATCTACTTTCTCCTGTGCAGAAGTCACAATTTCATTCAAAGTATTCATATCAGCATTATTTAAAGCATCATCTAGATTTTCCAACTTTCGATAAAAATATGTAAGTTGATAAATTAAACGCTTCATATATCTTACTTTTGGAAAATGAGGCGATAATAATTGAACTGGAAGAAACCTTCTTCGCAAAGTGTTATATCAATATAACAGCTACGCGTATGACCCAATTTCTCATTTGAAATTTTCATTGTACATTTATGAATATTTTGCATAAGTTTTGGTACATTTTTTAAAGTACATGTATTTACGGTTTCGAGAAACTTCTGATAACGATCAATTAAAAGCGGATCGTTAATTTTACAGCTTGCAGTATTACACATCAGTTTTGGTTCATTGTTTAAGGTACATGTATTTTGGTTTTAAGAGACTTCTGAGAACGGTCAATTAAAAGCGGATTGTTAGTTTTATAGTCTGAAATATTACACGACCAAGATTTTTTAGCTTGTTCTGTTGTTAATGGTAATATGTTTACTACTTTTCCTTTTACATTCATTATCAAAGGTTCCAATGGATTTACATCATGATGATATGTAGACTCAATAAAATTTTCAGATGAGGCTGTATGTCTAGATTCGCCACATAGCGCAGTTAATTTGTCTTCGATTGTAGAACAATCTGCGACAAGAGTCAAATACACTTCTGATTTCTTTTTAATCAAACTTAACATTTTGTATATATTGCGAATATAATTTTTCCTAATACACATGCACCAACGTACAATTTTTTCGGCTTCCAATCGTTTCTCAATATAACCTTTAATATTGATTTTTTCAATAATTTTTTATAAATATTTCTGAACAATTACGAAGTTTTATGGTATTCTTCGACCAGAATTGTTTATACTTTTTAGTAATTTTTTTAGCAATATTGCAAGTTTTATTTCAAATGTAGATTTTGTTTTGATTTTTTGTCTTTTTGTCTGATAATATCGCTTATTATAAAGCCATTTGCGATTAGGATCCAATCTTTTTTGTCTATCTCGTTCATACTCAAAGTTTTTCGAATAACGCATACGCTTTTGTGCGCGTTTATTTTCTAAATCTTGTTCATATCGATATCGATCTTTAATGCGTTCATCTTCTAAGTTCCGTTGATATCGATTACGCTTTTTAGCGCGATTGTCTTCTAAATTTTGTTTATAACGATCACACTGTTTAGCGCGATTGTCTTCTAAATTTTGTTTATAACGATCACACTGTTTAGCGCGATTGTCTTCTAAATTTTGTTTATAACGATTACATTGTTTAGCGCGATTGTATTCTAAATTTTGTTTATAACGATCACACTGTTTAGCGCGATTGTCCTCTAAATTTTGTTTATAACGATCACACTGTTTAGCGCGATTGTATTCTAAATTTTGTTTACAACGATTACACTGTTTAGCGCGATTATCTTTTAAATTTCGTCTATATCGATTGCGCTGTTTAGCGCGATTGTCTTCTATATTTTGTTTATAACGATCACGTCGTTTAGCGCGTCTATCTTCTAAGCTCTGTTTATACAGATCGTGCTGTTCAATGCAATTATTCTTGGAATCTTGCTCATATAAATCATGTTGTTTAGCCTGATTTTGTTCTAAATCTTGTGAATAGCATGCACGTTTATTTACACAATAATTTTCCAAGTTATGCTGCTTAGTTTCTTCATAAATATCATTGTTTGTTTTCATTAAATTCTTTGAATTATTTTCTGTTAATTGAAATTGATTATTATTTAACTCTTTTTCAGGTTGGTAAATATGACGTTGCTCTTCTAACCGATTCAAATATTGTCGTTCCGTCTCACATTGACGTTTACGAGATGCTTCAATCTCTCTTGCTTTTATTACTGCTAATGGAAGCACCTTTTGAGGAGCATATTGTGGATTTTGTGGAAAATGCTCAATAACATTAGATTTAAAAATCTTAATTAAATGCAAACGCATTAAACTATGATCATATTTTATTTTTTGGGTTTAATATTGAATAACAATGAAATTGCAAAGGCTATTGCAAAAACTCCGCAATCGCTACTGTTTGGTTGGTATTGTACAGTAGGAAATTGGATAGAATTTTTTTGAAGTTATATGTTGGAAATAATCTTTTCAAGAATTGTTCATGATGTCTATGCAATTTTTTATTATTTAATGAATCATAAATAAATATATTTTTTGTATTGTAGTAACTGCACACCCAATGTCCATCTGATGGACCTGACGAACCATGTAATATTTGTATTGTTTTTATCAATTGGCATAGGCTGAATCGTATCAGGAAGTTGTAATCGCCATGTTTCGACAGGTCTATAATCTGAAAAATTTTGTAATAAATAATCAAAATGTTCCATATGTTTATCAGTTAACCATTCACCTCGAACAATTATATTTTTATCCTCAGGAGATAAAATTCTATATCTTTTTGTTTTTATAGACATTTTTATTATTTATATATATTTTTTTGAATATATAATAATTTATCGGCGCAAAGCAGCCACTCTTTATCGGTGCAAAGCAGCCACTTTTATCGATGCAAAGCAGCCACTCTTTATAGGCGCACAGCAGCTCCTTTTCATAGGCGCACAGCAGCCTTGTATGGGCGCACAGCAGCCACTTTTTATAGGCGCACAGCAGCCACTCTTTATAGGCGCACAGCAGCCACTTTTTTTAGGCGCACAGCAGCCTTGTATGGGCGCACAGCAACCACTTTTTTTAGGCGCACAGCAGCCTTGTATAGGCGCACAGCAGCCGTTTTTTTACAAACACAACAGGCGCACAGCAGCCTTGTAATTTTTCTTTTTTCTTTCTTGATCTTCTTTTCTTCTTTCTCGATCTTCTTTTCTTCTTTTTAATCTTCTTTTCTTCTTTCTTGATCTTCTTTTCTTCTTTCTTGATCTTTTTGCACGTCTTCTTAAATAAAGCGTAATTTTATTTTAAATTTTAATTTAGTTACATGAAGATATTGTTGCGTCCTCGGGACGCCTCTCATTCAGTTACTCACACACAGTCACTTTCACTCGCGCGCGAAATAAAGATTCGCGTAATAGGGAAATGAACTTTAATATAAAGATCCAATACACGAAACCAATGAAATATAACAAATAGTGCATTCGTAATGCACAAGAAGCTCCGGTCTCGGAAAACGTCCGCACGATGCGACCGCTAGACCAAATCTATCTAATGGCGTCGGAAAATATTCAAACGTCGGTTGTGTATCAACAACCCTCTTAGCGATGATGTTCAGGGGATGATAGTAAAGTGAAGTTGCACAGGGGATGTAAATCCAGGAACGTAACACTGCCCCTCTTCTTCGAGATTGTCGTCCCGACAATCAGAGAAACAGAGAGGGCTATCCTTTGCTATCGTAAAGTTTCGTGCCTCGATGTCGATCTCAGGATTCCGACACTCCGGATCCAATCGTCCATCCGTGCACATCGACTTCAGGGTACGACGAGCCTTCCTGCTCTCCCTGGACTGCTGCCTCAGGTTACCGACGACTCTGCCTAACTGACCCAATCGACCGACAGCTATCTGTCGACTCCAGGGCTCCAACGAATCATCCTGCCCTACCTCGGGCTGCTGCCTCAAGTTATCGGGCGATCCGTCGATTTGAACCCATCGACCTACGATATTCTTTTTACTACGTCCGATCTTCCTGTGAC